AGACCTGTTGACTTTGATGATGATGCTCTCTCTGCACTAGTTGAAGCAGAACCATCTTTAACAGTTGATGAAATTGCGGAACGTTTAAATTCATCCCATGGAACTGTTCATAGACATCTACAGCAAATCGGAAAAGTTTCAAAAGCTAGGAAAATGGATACCACATGAACTGTCAATAGCTAAACGACAACAACATGTAAACATTTGCATGTCTCTTTTATCCCGCATTACTTTGGAACCTTTTCTTGATTGGCTGGTTACTGGAGACAAAAAATGGATCCTCTATAATAATGTGACGAGAAAAAGACAATGGACAGATCGTGACAAGCAACCAAAACCGGCTGCAAAAGGTGGGTTGCATCCAAAAAAAATTTTTTTGTTTGTTTGGTGGGATATGTCAAGTGTAATTCACTTTGAGCTGTTAGAACCTAATCAAACAATTACAGCTCAAATGTATTGTGATCAATTAGAGCGTTTAAATGAAAAAAAAATCGACCGTCATTAGTGAACAGAAAGCAGGTTCTCTTGCAACATGACAATGCCAGACCACATGCTATAAAAATAACTGTAGAGAAACTCAAAAGCTTCAACTGGGAAATTTTACCTCATCCACCATATTTGCCAGATATTGCTCCCAGTGATTATCATCTTTTTCGCAGTTTGCAGAATTTTTTAAAAGGGAAAACCTTTGAGGATGAGAACAATGTAAAAAAGGCTATTTCTGAATATTTTGATTCAAAACCGAAATCATTTTACGAAGACTGGATTAAAAAGCTACCATCAAGATGGCAAAAAATTGTACAAAATAATGGTGAATACATTATAGATTGAAATAAGATTTAATTAAAAATTTTTGTTGCTTTTTTTGTAGATAAAAATACGCACGAACTTATGGACTGACCTGATATGTCTCATCTATGTGTTATGCAAACGCTTCACATGTAAGAACATAATTCAATTAACAACTTAACTTCAAAATTATACATTTTTGAATTCTGTTATAACCAGACTAATTTCGATAACATATATAATATACTTGGTAGAATCATGTTGGTACTTGGAATAACACTGTAACTTACATTCATCACAATACTACTGAAAGGTTGCTGACCCCTGGCCTAAAGTAACATCAATTTGATGCGTGCAATCTGATGACGATATAATAACATCTTCTGTTTTGAATATTCATATCAATTTATTCATACACCACAGAAAAAAAATGACTTATTGTGTGTTTTATTCACAGATAGCATTATGATTTTCATTGCTGCTTTTTCATTTTGTTCTACACATTATCCTCTTTCATATTTTGTCCTAATTTTAGTCAATTGTAATGAAAAATTTGAAAGTTGTTAAGAATATCCTTTTAGATGTTTGTTATTAAGCTCACTTTAAAACTAAAGTAATTTAGTTGCTTTGAAAACAAAATTTAAATTTTGTTTTCAAAGCAACATGGTTTTAAAATATTATATAAAACAAAATAACGCATTCTTCAAGTATGATTATTTTATCATAAAATAGTTTCAATTATAACCTAGTTAAAAGATTAAAAAGCATTTAAATTTTTATTTGGAAACTTTAAGAAAATTTAGTTTTACTAATTTCTAGTTCTACTTTAGTTTTATTAATTTCAAAGATTACTGAAGAATTTCAGATTGTGTGTGAAAAATGGATTAAAAATATAGATATAACAGCAAATTTGATTAAGTAATGATGATAAAAATGATATTTTTATAATTATTTTACTGCTCATGATTACATTCATTATATATGATGATTTGCTGAAGATATTATTTGAAAAATTAAATTGATAAATAAATTATATAATTTTATATAATTGTGTGCACTTTTGTTTGTGAGCTTATCAATTTTGAGACAATTATGTAAGAGCTGCACTGAAACTAACTATTTTATTTACTGACATGTTCATATTGCACTTTGTGGTAGATTAACTCTTCTTTTGTACAAAGATACTGTTCAACATAGTGTGTATTGTAAACAATGCATTTGCACCATTACTGAACCCAACTCTGGAATCTTCTTTGAAAAAATTCAGGTGTGCACTGTTGTAGTCACTTACTCACAGCCACTTTCATCTTGTTTGTCATCAAATTGTTGTACTTAAAGATTGTCATTTATAGGACTGAATATGTGGAAGTCAGAGGGGCCAGATTTGGGTTGTATGGTGGAGGGGGACCACTGACCAGTAGTTATATAATTATTAGTTTTCAGTTTTATCTATGATTTTTTTTTTAATATTTTGTTGAACTTGCAAGCTTAAAATTAAGAAACCTTGTCATTCAGATCTTATAAAAATTTCAGCAGCAATTGTTTGTTGTATAATCTATAAATTTCAGGGTCTATTTTTAATGTAATATGGTTAAATAAATATTTGGACATGTTTCATTGAATAGTATATATACCATCCTTTCTCAAAGTGGGCGATAATGCCCCCTTGTGGGTGCTGGAGGCTTTCACGGGGGCAGTAGAAGGCTCAGTGATTAAATATGAGCTTTATTTCTTCTCATTGAAACATTCTTTTTTCTCAGAAATAAGATATGGGTCACACCCTATCTATCCTATCCATATAATAATGCATGTTTAAACATTATATTTGCAATAACTGTTTTTAAGATATGCAACAGATGGTAATGCAAAAAGGTAAGTTAAAAAATATGGGGGCACTAGATTTTTTTTTAATCTCAAAGTGGGTGGTGGTCAAAATAAGTTTGGGAACCTGTTATATATACAGTGGGTGATCAGTTAACGAACATAATTCATTCCAAGACTTTGTTAGCTATCTGAGTTGTTCGTTAACTGATTATCGATTTACCATAGATTTTTATGGGAATTTGATTAATTCATTCTGAAAACTCCAAAAAATAAATAAAAAAATTGTATACTTCTTATTATATTTATTTATATGTAATAAGAAACTAAAAGCAATCTCTCCATTTTTTCATAGATGCCATAGCTTTGTTTCTCAGATGTGATTTTCGTTACTCCTTTAGCTGCTCGAGTCTTCTTGATTATATCTTTCTTAGCTAAGATTATGCTTACTGTAAACCTGTTCAAGCCTTACTGTCTAGCACCATCAGACATCTGCCTACACTCTACCTTGGCTATTATCTCTTGCTTGTTTCTAAGGTTAGCACAGTTCTTGATACTCCACTCTTTTTTAGACTTCATAATAATAATGTCTTTTTGAAATAAAAAGTTCAGAAAAGCACTCACAAAAATTCAGTGAACAGAAATCAACTAGTGCAGGAAAGAATTATGTAAATGTGAGGCCCAAATGAAATTTGAAATTTTGTTGTTAAACCATTAACGAATATCCAATAGGACAGTTAAAGGTTATCAGGGACAGTTATCCAATAGGACTCTCACCTTTAGAAAATAGAACAGATGCAAAACTTAACAAGTGCCCAACAGTCTTGCAAAGACTATAAAAAATTATATGTCTAAAAGGTAAACAATAAGCTGGAATTACAATGGAGAGTTTCAAAAGTTTGGAGGAATAATATCTGATTGGTATTGGGTTGAGTGTCTCCCACACTCCGAAAGGTTTTGAATTGGTACCTGGAGACAAGGGAAAACCAATTGTTATTCGTTATTTTATGTCGCTTCTTTTAGTGTTTGTTTTGTGAAATGTTCTTTGTCCGAACATGTGTTTGTAGTTCGAACAAAGTGTTCGTTATCCGATTTGTTTGCTGTCTGAACTGTTCATTAATTGATCATCTACTGTACCCTAAACTATCAAAACCACCTTCTCTTGCTGAGAAACATTTTATTAAACAAACACAAATGTTTTCAACCTAATTCAATAGGCTATCTTCAGGTATAATCAAATTTGAACACCTTTTCAAAATGGAACATTTTAATGAAGGAATGTTTGAATTTTTATATTTAAATTTAAATTAGATAAATTAACATTTAAATACAAAGATAAAATATTTTAAACAAATGCAAAATAAAATAAAATAAACAAAATGCATCAAAATGTTCCATTTTGAAAAGGCATTTGAATTCAGTTGCACCTGAAGATGGCCTATTGCATTAGGTTGAAAATGTTGTGCTTGTTTAATAAAACATTTCTCAGCAACAGAATGTGGTGTTGATAGTTCATTAAGTATAAAAAGCTGAGTTAGATTAGTGATTTTTAGCATATACTATATTGTCCTGAATATAAGTCAACTCTCTCAATATAAGAATCTTTACTTTTTTAAAAACTTAAGACCTGAATCTAAGTTAACTTTTATTATTTATTCTTTTTGTATTAAAAATATTTGGAAAGTCACTACTATTGTATTTTTCCAAAAATAAGACCTAACCAGAAAATCAGCTCTAGTATGATTTTTCAGGATGCTTGTAATATAAGCACTATCCCCAAAATAAGCCCCTGTTAAGATCATCAACCAGAAAGATTGTGTGTTGAAACAGACATTTAATATGTCTGTTTCAACACACAATGGACACATTGAATTATAAAATAGTAATATTAATATAGGATTAAATATAAATAAATATTATTATTGACATTAATACTTAATTATAATTTATATTATCATTTATTTTAAGTATTTATAAAATACCCAAGCAGGTACCTTTGGAGGAGATACCCCTGAAAATAAGATCTAATGCATTTTTTGGAGCAAAAATTGATATAAAACCCAGTCTTATTTTCAGGAAAATACAGTATTTCATTTTCATCTTTATCAGAACATTTATCATTCCTATTTTCTTTTTCATTAATTTGATTTCCAGATATTTGTAAATGAATATTTGATTGCTATTTTAGAAATTTTTACAAACTGCATTTAAATCATGTGTAGTTGATCATCAGAAAATTGTACTCAAAGGGTTTTTTTTTTACAGAAAGAAATATAATATAGATGACTGATGCATATAAGTGACAAATTGTAACTTATAAGTCACCATGAAGTGTTGATATTAGATACTAGAGTCTAGTGTCTAATATCAACATTTCATGGTGTCCTAAAAAATAACCTAAAAGGGTACGGTTTCAACATGAAGGAGAAATTGTAAAATTATTACTATTTTTTTTTTTTTGTCAATATCAATAAGAATGAAATTAATGGAAGTGTAGAGTGAAATTGAAACAATGTTTTATGCATTTGGTAATAGACTGCCCAGCACATACATCATTCCAGGGAAGTAGGCTTTCTGCATGTTTCATATGTATTCTGAAAAGTGTACTTGAGTTTTATGACTATTGAAAACAAAACTGTGTTTCATTTCTGCTTGTCTTAGTTTTTCTAACTGTCTAAAGCATTTTTATAAAGTCTAAAATATGTAATTATGTATTCAACATGTTTATAATAGAAATTTATACTTAACTGCAGAACAAATTTTCAGCAACCTGCCCCCAATTTTTGACAATCATTGAATTAGCAAAGACTCCTAAGAGTAAAATAAGAGTTACATAAATAAAATTTATCTACAATTCATCAAAATTGATTGTTTTATCACATTTAACAGAATCAATCAGCTTAGTTTGGTTGGTCGTTTAAAAACAGTTGACTGATCAATTATTTACAATCATGCTAAACACTTAATTTCTATGCATAATTTGCAGGCTATAGCAGGACAGTTTACAAGTTGGCTGACTTTTAGCATTACTAAACAATTGGCACACTAAATTTTAGCATCAGTTTAACTTGATGCATGTACAGTACAGTACATACCACATATAGTTGATTGAACAAAACTTTAATTGGACTTCAATATAGGTCAAGAGCAAGTTTTGTGTCTTTAAAACTGGAAAAAGATTAATATTCGAGTTAATATAACATTATTTTATATTCATTCAGTATTATAATCTTTATTAACTATACTTGTATGTGTCTTTTTGTTTATTGTTGTTTGTGTGTCAGTAAGGAAATACTAGTTAAATTATTTTTATGAGACTCTATTAGTCTCATAAGAANATATTGGGCCCTTTTTCTCACTCCACTGTGAATTGGCTAACGTACAATGGTCTGGAGAGAGAGACACTCTTAGTGTCCATAGGGCAGAGAGTGGGGAAGAAACTTTCTCATTGTTTTGATTCTTTAGGATAATGCATGGGCAAATAGTTAAAAACTTTAACTAAAAATAAATAAATTTTTAAATAAACAAATATGGCTTATTAATATTCGAGTTAATATAACATTATTTTATATTCATTCAGTATTATAATCTTTATTAACTATACTTGTATGTGTCTTTTTGTTTATTGTTGTTTGTGTGTCAGTAAGGAAATACTAGTTAAATTATTTTTATGAGACTCTATTAGTCTCATAAGAATATATGTATAAAATTTTAATAAATGAAATTTAAAATATATAGTACATAATTTACAGATAATCTTATAAATTTCTTTTGAACTCTATTAACTAGTAAAACAGTGTAGGTTCAGAAATAGCTGTTATTTGTATTTATCTATACAGAAGAAGCAATATTAAGAATGGAATTGAAATTAAATCTAAAAGACCAGAAGAATTCACAAACTTACTTTTTTATTGTAAATTTTATTCATTATTTGAAAAAAATACAGTTGTATTTTTATGCTTAGTTATTGTTACTGGAACCAAAGTAATAGAAAAGTGTATGGAACAGTATGAAAAAATAGAAAAATTTTTGATCATATATTTTCAGTGTGAAAAATATAATGCATTCAACTTGGAAATGACATATAACATGTACATTCCTGAAATTATACAGTATTTCCTCTAGAAGCAAAAACTAAATGGACATTTCTCTATATTTTTTGTTCATAAATTTTAAATAAGTTGTTTTGTGCATAATTAATTCAAACTCTACAGCTATGTAAATTGAAATTTTTACTAATTTTAATTTTGTTTTTAAGTTTGATTGTTTGATCCCTAAAATTAAGTCAAAAGTTTAGTGGACATAATTGATTTAATATTTAAACATACACACATTTCTAAATTTGCATTTTATTTTTTAAATAGTTAAATTTGAAAGTATTTTTGGGACTGTATAATTACCAAATATTTTATTAATTTTAGTGAATTATTTTAAATTTTAAAAAAATTTTCTTGTCAGATGAAGCACAGAGTGAACGTGCCAAAGAGAGTATAAGAGCAAAATGTATTCAGTACTTAGAAAGAGCTGAAAAATTAAAAGAATTTTTAAAGAAGAAAACAAAGAAACCTGTAAAAGCTGGAGAAAATGATCAAAAGTAAGTTATTTGAAATTTTGAATTAGTTTATTTCCATACAGTTTTCATTTAAGAAGATATAGTGATGGTGCTTATATTTCGATTATGATCAAGCAGTCAGCTATGTAAAGATTTTTTTCTAATCAAATATCAAGAATATATTCTTATATTCCTGTTTAAAAAGCAATTATCAAAAATGCATTTTGTTAAAAATTTTTATGATAAAATTAAAACAAGATACTGCTTACATTCTGGTAACATTACTAAATGTACATTCATTTTTAGAAGTAATTTTTCTTGAATGACTCCATTTGATGGATTCACAACTCATATTCATGTAATTTGGTGTGTTATGTAATCTTATTTCACTCCATAGTTCACTTATGAAAAAGATAGCTGTCAAGGAGGCCTATTGAGTAGTGACAAGCTAATTCAAGTTTTCACTTGTCAGAACACATTTTTCAGAAAAGATCAGTTAGCGAGTCATCTTAGGCAAGTTGGGACAGATATGCTAACTGAGGCAGACCCGCAGGAGAGCTACCGACTCAGCTCTAGATTGGTCGGCCAAAGGATCTAAAACTTAGATATAAGGCAAAACAACTGTTGGAACAGGAGAAACAAGCCTGGCCTAAAACTGTGTTGTGAGAAGCAAGCAAGAAGTATTGCTGTACATTTGTAAATGGTTCTCAAATAAATGGACTTAAAGACTTAAACTGAACTCAAGGAGTTGTAAGGTGTTTTTTCTGATGGACCATAAATCTGGAAATCTGAAGGCACGATCTGAAATTTACTACAGCAATAGCTTTTTCTATTTAAATTTATTTACATTTCATAACAGTTAAAGACTAAACTGCCAAAATGTTAACAATATTTTTATAGAAGCATTATTGTCACCTAGGATATTAAGAAAGTCTAACCTAACATAGAATCTGAATATTATGTAAAAAGTAAAAAGTTATTCAGCTTCTTCATATCAGTTCTTCTCTGACAGCTAGATGATCAAATGATAAAGGTGTCAGCCTGTTGTTTTGGAAGGTTTAAGTTCAAATTAGAAATCTGAGAAATTTTTCACAGATGGTTGTCCTGGATATATTGGGCCCTTTTTCTCACTCCACTGTGAATTGGCTAACGTACAATGGTCTGGAGAGAGAGACACTCTTAGTGTCCATAGGGCAGAGAGTGGGGAAGAAACTTTCTCATTGTTTTGATTCTTTAGGATAATGCATGGGCAAATAGTTAAAAACTTTAACTAAAAATAAATAAATTTTTAAATAAACAAATATGGCTTGATTAGTGGATACTACTGATATGTGAGCCATTCACAAGTCGATTAACTTCACATTTGGAAATTTTTTAAAATTTTAGTGTGAAAGCACTTGATATACTTGTAACTTTTTATATTCATAATAAATTTTTTTAATAATAAGGATTAATACCACTTAATGACAAAATTTTATTGGCCATTGAAAAAAATTTTATTTATTTCAGAAGCCAATCTAAGTAACTCCATACTGTAACATTAGTCTGCCAGTACACACTGCAATTACAATGCTGCAGTGTGTGCTGACCAGTGCTTTGTAGATAACAGTAAATTATTTAATGTTATCTCATCACAAAATGTAAGTAAAAGAAATTAGTTAGTTACAGTCCAACTGCTGCAGAAGTAAGTATACTTGTGGAATATTGAACGATTATTTTAATTTTGGCAACAATTGTTTATAGAAAAAAGAAAACCCATTATATCAAGATGGATAAAACTAAAAATAATTTTTTTCATTCCTCCTATTAAGCACAATTCTTATAAAAATTTAAGAACAAATTGACATTATGGGGCTCAAATACAACTGATGAAGAAGACATCATTTATGTTGCTGAATAATCAATTTAAACAAAATTATTATTATTTTGTTTAAATTAACTATTCTGTTACTGTTAACCATTGTAACAGTAACAGAATAGTTATTATTCGTTTTTGTGAACAAATTTTAATAAAAAATGTGTGCTAATGTGAAGATTGAATTTGATGTTATTATGTTTTTCACTTGCCAAATCGATTAACTCCCTCAATCACACCAAAATTGTAATAATAATAATGATTATAGCATATCTATGCTATTTTATACATTTTATATGTTATTAAATAAAAGCTACATCTAAATAATACATTCTACAATGTTTATTTGAATTTATGTTTTACAAGGAATTTTTAAAAAAGAATGTATATTACTTTGTCACTTTTCTCCACTTTTTGTTTTATGGAGTTAATCAATTTGGAGTGAGTGGCACATGTAGGATTAACCCACCAGTGGCTGAGTGGATAAAACCACTGAACACTGGTTGGTTGTGGGTTCATGCCTCACCAGTGGGCTGACTATGTGTTTTTGTCTTTTTCTTTACATTTTTTAACATCTAAATACAGGCTAGTTTCCCATAGATAAGTCCTCCTGGGAGACATCCCTCTTGGCAGATTTCCCATGTGTCACGTTGACATAAACAAATAAACCAAACCAAACACATAGTCACTCAGAAAAAAACAGCATTACTTGCAACTATCTACTTTATTGCAAAAGGTGTTTCTTGACTACGGTTTATGCTATCAAAATACTAATAAAATGCAGAGGGTTACAAAAGCTGTCCTAAAATAAAAATAAAAATTAATTATCAGAATTGCAGTTTATTTGTCTGGAATTATTGGCAAAGGTTATTACTTCTAAAATTGTTACCAAAAAAAAAAAAATAAATGTAAATGAAGAAAATTTTTGCACAGGGTCTATCCAGTGTTTCTTTCAGACAATTTGCTCCAGGGGAGGCATTTTAGAGATTTTTGGATGGGGTATATAAGTTTTAATGTTGCTCTGATTTTCCTTGTGGAAGTGGAGGATTTGCTATGCCGAGGCTTGAGAGAGATTCCTGAGAGAAACATTGGTTTCATTTCATGCACAAAGTTCTTGAACAACACTGAATGAGACACATCTGTTGATTGACTTGAAATGCAACTTGTATCAGGAATCTAAGAAAGGAAAATGCCATCATTAAAGCTGACTCATTGTGGAAACACGTGTGCATGGACAAGTACTGGGAAAGTTACTTAATCACTAATGTGTGGTTTCTGGACTGTGCCTATCATAGAGGGAAAAATCTCATTTCTTCTGAATCACTAACTCTATGGAATGTCACAGGTATGAACATAATTTGAAGCTACTAGGGTGATGGTCCTTATCTATATACTGAGAAAGAAAATGGGATTTTAAAAATCAATGCAGTTCCAGGAACCAGATATAACTACTTAAGAGTTAATGCGAAATAAATATTTTAAAAACTAAATTATTTTGCTCTTAAACTAAGTTGGATTATCTCTGTATAGACTTATAAAAATTTTTAACCCCAATTAGATAAAAAAAAAAAATTAATTGCACCTCATGCCAAATAATGATCTAATGTAATGTTACGATGTAGTGTACTTTATCTTAATGTGTTAAAGCTAACATTTTATTCAAAATTGTGAGTACTTTTGATAGTTTGCAACTATTCTTTTCAGGCTGATTCACTTAGACTGAAATAAAAAAAGATTTTTCATATTTAAAAAAAAAATAACATAATGGGCAACATTTTAAAAAAAATATTTGAGCTGCATTAAGAAAAAGAAAAATGTCTAACATTCCAAGAGCAGCAGCCCATGGAATGTTAGAAAATTTGATATTTGATGATAAAGATTATAAACTATTAAAAATAAAAGTTAATAGATTTTTCAAAACATAAAATAAAAATGAAATTAAATGCTCTTTTATAATAATCCATAGTTTTTTTTTGTAGTTGATTATATATAATGACATCTATAGTTTGGGAATGTTGAGGTTATTCATGTTATGCAATAGGAGGTTGCGATGCAATAGGAGGTTTCGTAGGAATAATGTTCTTCTATCCTGGCATTGTTTAAGAACTGACACATGGGACCAGAGGGACTCATAATCTTGGTTCAGGGCTCTTTTGACCAGTTCTGTAGTATACCTATTATTTTGTATGACTTTCTGATGTTCTTAGATATGTGTCTGAAGCATTCTAGTAGTAACTCCAGTATAATTGGTTGTTGCTCTCAAGAGATGTAAAGGTGTGGCATATATTTCCAATTTTTTCAGCAAGTCAACTTTACCTTTGTCATTGCATAAAAGCTATTTAAGATAGGTTGTGGAGCCAGTGGAACGATAAACCCAAATTTTCTTAATGTGCATGTGATAGCTATGTAATAATAGTAATAGTAATGACAGCAACCCTAAGTGTGGTATTGCAGGCTATATGTAGATAAGGTTTTTTTTTGTGTTCAGAGTGGTTAATTAAAATATTATCTACATATTGTAGGTAAAGGAGAGGGTATTGCATAGCAAGTTGGGGGTTAAAGATTTTTGTTTCACCATTCCTCATAATAAGTTCAGCTAGTGTGGCAGAGAGAGATGAACCCATTGATATACCTTGCTTTTGGATGTAGGCATTGCTATCAAAACAAAAGTATCTTAAGTTATTATCAGTAATGAATAGCAGTGCCTCTCACAAATCCAGTACTTGTGGAGCCAAGAAACTCTTCTTAATAAGCATGGCATTTGCTAGCATAACAGCATCAAATTGCAGTACCCCAAAGGGTACAATGATACTATATCAATTTTTTAAAAGCAATATGCTTGCATAGGTAGCAGTGTAACGGTAGTAGAGAGAACTGATCTTGCTTCAAATATAGATGTAGGAAGAATGGAGCTAAGTTTTTTGCAAGTACCCTATCTAATGCATCTGATATGAGCAGAGGTTGTGGAGGACATGTGGACTTGTGTTTTGATTTTGAAGAATAGCTTGGGACATGTCACATCTTTGGGAGAAGGCAGTCCCATTAAGGAAGATAGAACACCTGTTAATGTTACCATTTTTCGTGCTCTTCTTAAAACTGTCATTGTCAGATCATCGCTTAGTAGGACCAAACCAGTTTATAGAAGGAATCTTTGTTCTTACATAATCACAAATGTCTGTTCTTTGTCTATGATCAATGACCTCAGATCCATATTATTCAGAAAATGTCTAATACACTGTGTGTTTTAACATTGCAGGCACTTGTGGGGGTTGTTGGGCAGCAATTTTTGTGAATACTGTAATCTTCAATCTGGATTGCAGTTTGGCCTGCTGAGTATATGTTATGGTCACCATGATGGTGGTGATGCTGACGACCTAGCTACCTGTAGACACTCGTATGAAGAAAACATCATAACTGAAGTAAAGAAACAAGCACTGGAGATGAGGAAGAAATAAATTTTATAAAGGACAAATCTCCTGTTCTCTGTGCAGGGAGGGAAATCATAAAGACTCTTGAAGTGTTATGTTATCTTGTACATATACATACATTATATTTTATTACTATTTAAATAAGTCCAACTATATTGTTTGTATTGTGAAATTTATTATCACATTAAAATAATGGTAGTTTCTGTAACTCAAATTTTTCTGTTTTTTCCACTTCAAACTATCAAGAGTGTAATGTATATGGTTTTTTGTTGAATTTATCTCAAATTCAACAAGTAAATGTTTCATTGTATGCAGTGTGTGTGGTGAAAAATAATAATTAAAAAATTATTTTTGTATTTTTATTTTTATATATACAGTTTAACCTGATTATAATGTCATTGGATGTAACAACAACCCTAATATAATGTCAATTTTTATCGGTTCCACAATTTTACTATACTAGATAATGTTAAAAAACCCACTTNTGATAATGCACCCTTGCATAAGAGCCAGGGATCGGCAAACTTTTTTAGAAAAGGTTCAGATCATAAAAAAAAATTAGGTTTGGCAGGTCAGGTTGCAAACTCAAATAGGTGTACTTTTTAATAGGTACTTCTATTCATAAAGCAAAACCAAAAAAAGCTAATTTTTTTTTATTAGGAAGTGATATTTTTACATACATAATAGTTTAACCTGATTATAATGTCATTGGATGTAACAACAACCCTAATATAATGTCAATTTTTATCGGTTCCACAATTTTACTATACTAGATAATGTTAAAAAACCCACTTGTAATGACGTAAAATCCTGTTTTAACATCATATTTAAAGCACTTCCAAATTTACAAAATTAGATTATGAAATTTTATTTAACAAAGAAAATACTACATGTTTAGTCCCTAGGATCAGAGTCCACTTCCTTCCTCCAAATTGTACTAGTGTATTTCAGCCAATGGATCAAGGAATTATAAGAAGCCTTAAATCTCATTTTAGAAAAATTCTTTTACAAAAATTTACTACAAATATGGAAGATAACAATAAAATGGCAATTTCTTTATTAGAAGCAGTTGATTTTTTGGAAAAATCTTGGTGTAAGGTTAGTTCACAAATAATAGCAAACTGATTTTGCCATGCAAAATTGTGTAATAGTCAAACAGTTGTTACATTTATGAATGATGATGACAACGACGACATTCCTCTATCAGAATTAATTAAAACACTTCAAAGTTCAGAAAACGATGAATTTTTGTCATCTGCTGCTACTGAATATGAGAGTGTAGATGAAGATTTAATAACATCCAAATTTTATACAGATGCAGATATTGTTGAGCAAATTAAATCTTCAGGTGAAAAAGATGAGGATGATGATGATGATGAAGACGAAACATCAGACAGAGAAAATGTAATGCTGTCACTAGGGAAGCACATAATGCAATAAGATTATTGAAAATGTTTTACAGGTCTCGGAAAACTTTGTCAGAAATAATGAACAAAGTGTATGATTTAGAAAATGATATTGATAAACAATTTTTAGGTGAAAAACACCTACGATCTAAAATAAGTGAATGATGATGATGTATTTTTTTAAATTGGCATACATTAGTTTAACCTTTTGTTGTCTTTTGATTTGACATTATTCTCAAAACCGAAAGTGCCACCATTATCGAAACTTAAGACAAATAGAAATTTCTTATAAAAGGTAATTTTTGAAATTTTTAATTTTATCGATGTAAACTTAGACATAATAATATAAATAAAGTTGATTTAAACATTTTGTTTACACTTTTATACATGTGATGATAAATTAATTTTACCATAATAGATACAGTATACTGTAATACCATTAAGAAATAATTTTATGGTAATACATATGATGTTAAATTAGAATGGTTTTTTAATAGATTCTTAAACATACTTGGTAATTTTATGGGATTGAAATTATGACTCCGCAGATAATGACACTTGGTTATAACGTCAAAAAATTGCCAGTTCCATGGATGTCATTATAATTGGGTTAAACTGTATTTTGAGATGCTTGCCAAGTTCTTCCAATAATTTTAAGAAATATATATTATAATTTAATGGTTTTAATGGGTAATCACTACAATTTAAAAATAACAAAATAATTTTAAAAATTCTTTAATTTCAGAAAAGGTAATAAACAAACTTTAATATTTTTATTTTATGCTGTGTAGCATTTTGCTTTTATTTATTTATTTATTATTTCTTAAAAATAATTGTAAAAATGAAATAATTATTAACATTTTTTTATGATGTAGAAAAGAGGACGACAGTAGTGAAAGTGATGAGGAGGATCCAGATAAGAAAAAACTATTAAATCAGTTAGAAGGTAAAAAAAACTATATTAATGAAAATAAAATATTTAAGTTTTATTGTTTTTTAGTTGTTTGTAACTGTGTAATTATTCAGAATTTTCTTTATTTTGAAATATTAATTAAAAGGAAAAAATTTTTTGTAAAATTTATGCAAATATGAGTCTTTTTACTTATTATTATTATTCCACACTAACATTTAGACATCAGAATACAATGGTACCTCAGGATACGAATGCTCCAGCATATGAAATTTTCAGGATACAACATGAAATTCGAACATATTTTTGCTCCACGATACGAACAAAAACTTACCATACGACGTTACATTAGTTTGCAGCGCCATTTTTTATTCACTTCTGTTCATTGGTCTCAGTCTGCGTGTTTGCTTCATCGTGGAAGGATCTCGCTCAATAAAGGAAATCTTGAGGTATTATCAGAAAGCGACTGATTTTATTGAAAAGAAACATTCCAAAATGGTTCACACTGGCTGTATTGCTGCTCAGTATTTGCATAAGTAATTTTAGAAACATTTTAAAAAAGTAGGCAAAGCCAAACCTCTTTGGATAGATATTTTACCAAGCAACCTCTATCCAGTGAAAGTGCTGGTAGAAGTGAAGGAAAGAAAGCAAAAAGCAGTGAATAAAAATTTTTAAAAAAATATATATATATATTCACTGCTTTTTTAAATTTTTATTCACTAAAACTTACTTCACTAAAATGCTTTTTTAAATTTTTTAAATAAATTTTTATTCACTAAAACATAACTTACATAACATAATGTAACGATAACTTAAAAATAACTTAGAAAAGATAAAAAAAAATTAGTGTTGCTTTATATATATATACAGTTTACACCTCCACCATCATCTATCCTCAAAGGTAAAATGCAAATAAAATTACATTTTTTTTATCAATTATTATTCTATTATGGTTATTTATACATTTACAACTACAAAACATATTTTTCGGTGTTTTCCTTACTATAGTTACTTTTTTTTAATGTACTATGTAGCTTTAATTTGAGTGTGTTTTTCATGTTGGAATGAATTATTTGGTTTTACATGTAATCGTATGGGGAAAAATGATTCACCTTACGACATTTTCGTGATACAATCTCAGTTTCGGAATGGGTTAATTTCGTATCCTGAGGTAGCACTGTATGTTTTTGTTTCTAATATTTCTGTATCATTATTAATACAGCAGGATAACAGATTTTTCCTCTGTCAGAAATTAATCTTTCTTCAGCAAAAATTTTTGTCTGGGATTATTTCTATACACAGTGTGGAAAAAAGCTTTAAAAAACTATATATTGTAAATTAGAATGATTTTTTTAACATTAATTTATTAAAAATGTACACCAAATAAACATTAATGTAAATGTATTAGAAGTAAANTTTATGATGTAGAAAAGAGGACGACAGTAGTGAAAGTGATGAGGAGGATCCAGATAAGAAAAAACTATTAAATCAGTTAGAAGGTAAAAAAAACTATATTAATGAAAATAAAATATTTAAGTTTTATTGTTTTTTAGTTGTTTGTAACTGTGTAATTATTCAGAATTTTCTTTATTTTGAAATATTAATTAAAAGGAAAAAATTTTTTGTAAAATTTATGCAAATATGAGTCTTTTTACTTATTATTATTATTCCACACTAACATTTAGACATCAGAATACAATGGTACCTCAGGATACGAATGCTCCAGCATATGAAATTTTCAGGATACAACATGAAATTCGAACATATTTTTGCTCCACGATACGAACAAAAACTTACCATACGACGTTACATTAGTTTGCAGCGCCATTTTTTATTCACTTCTGTTCATTGGTCTCAGTCTGCGTGTTTGCTTCATCGTGGAAGGATCTCGCTCAATAAAGGAAATCTTGAGGTATTATCAGAAAGCGACTGATTTTATTGAAAAGAAACATTCCAAAATGGTTCACACTGGCTGTATTGCTGCTCAGTATTTGCATAAGTAATTTTAGAAACATTTTAAAAAAGTAGGCAAAGCCAAACCTCTTTGGATAGATATTTTACCAAGCAACCTCTATCCAGTGAAAGTGCTGGTAGAAGTGAAGGAAAGAAAGCAAAAAGCAGTGAATAAAAATTTTTAAAAAAATATATATATATATTCACTGCTTTTTTAAATTTTTATTCACTAAAACTTACTTCACTAAAATGCTTTTTTAAATTTTTTAAATAAATTTTTATTCACTAAAACATAACTTACATAACATAATGTAACGATAACTTAAAAATAACTTAGAAAAGATAAAAAAAAATTAGTGTTGCTTTATATATATATACAGTTTACACCTCCACCATCATCTATCCTCAAAGGTAAAATGCAAATAAAATTACATTTTTTTAATCAATTATTATTCTATTATGGTTATTTATACATTTACAACTACAAAATGCATTTTTCAGTGTTTTCCTTACTATAGTTATTTTTTTATTTTAATGCACTACTTAGCTTTAATTTGAGTGTGTTTTGGGTGTTGGAACAAATTATTTGGATTATACAGGTAATCGTCTGGGGAAAAATGATTCACCTTACGACATTTTCATGATACGATCTCAGTTTTGGAACAGATTAATTTCGTATTCTGAGGTACCACTGTACATACAGTGATAACAATTTTTGAGATAACATGTTGGCTTTCAGCCAATAAAATTGAGTTGTCTATGAACTATTATTGTGATGCTTCAATTAGAGTATGTCACAAATGCAAGAAATGACCACTGATTTTAGCATTTTGTAAAAATTAACTTTTTTCAGCATTTAAAGTGTACAATAACATTAAATTTAAATTTTTTAAACCTAATTTAATCATTTTTTATTTAATTTAACCCTGAACAAAATATCAAAAGAAAAAATAGTTATAAATTTAAAACAGTTTATTAAGGTGAATATCTACAAAAATATTTAGTATGAATATAATTAAATATAAATAATTCTATATGTTTATATATAATACTAAAAATAATCAATTTTTAGTTTCATACTTGACAACGAAATTCTGTTTTTAGAAAATCTCCTGCTGCATACATTTTTTTTTCTTTAATGATTATATATTCTTTTGATCATTTGAAAATATAAATAACATAAAAAAAAATAAATAAGAAAAATTGAAAAGATAAACCTATTGTTTCTATTAAAACTAGGGATGGGTAAATATCACTTTTCACAGATTCAAATATTAACCAGATCTTGAATATTCAAATACTTCAATACTCAAATAATTAGTGAATGTAATTATTTTATATAACTTATTTAGTTAATAATTTATTATTTAACTTTATTTATTTCTACTTATTTAACCCTTTGGTGAACATGCTCTTCAGGAGCTCACGAGAAGGCGCATTGCGGCAATTACATATTATGTAATACCACATATGTAATATTACTTGATTTAAGTCAATAATTATTTATTGTTTTGAAAATATGAATCAGATATACCAGAAAATTAATTTCACAACATTTTAATAAACAAATTTGGTTATAAAGTATTTAGATAATAAAAAAAAGTTACTCTATATTCATGTGATGTTCACCTTCACACATGGCACATATAATCACTATATTACTATGNCTGACAGAACAAACACAAGAAGCAATGCTGCATTTAAAATTTGTAAAACTATATTTTAATGGCATGGTTTATGGAACGAGAGTTTCACAGTTGTATACATAACCTTTTTTGCACTAGATAATTTCTGTTCTTTGAATTTTTGTACATGCTTTTCTAAACTTTTTATTTAAAAAATTGATAATATTATGAGGCCTAAAAAGAGTGGAGTGTCAAGAACTGTGTTCACTGTAGAAACTAAGCAAGAGATAATAGCCGAGGTAGAGAGAGTGGGCAGATATCTGATATTGTAGGCAGATGACTTCAACAGGTCTACAGTATATACAATCTGAGCTAAGAAAGATATAATCAAGAAGACACAAGCAGCTAGAGGAGTAATGAAAATCACATCTGAGAAACAAAGATGTGCCATCCATGAAAAAATGGAGAGATTGCTTTTAGTTTGTTATTAAATGTAAATAAAATAGGAAGAAAGTATGTAAATTTTTAATTTTTTGGGTCTCCAAACAAAATCAAATTCCCACAAAAATCTATGGTAAATTGATAATCGGTTAATGAACAATTTGGATAGCAAACATGATCTTGGAATGGATTATGTTCGTTAACTGATCTCCACTGTATTTTAAAAAATGCATTTATTGTTTCTGTTTTTAAAAAATATCTATTTTAAATTATTTTTTTTATTGCTTAATAAATATTCTAGGTGCTATCATCATGGAAAAACCAAATGTCAAATGGTCAGATGTTGCTGGATTAGAGTCTGCAAAGGAAGCTTTGAAGGAAGCTGTAATTTTACCAATTCGATTTCCACACTTATTCACAGGAAAAAGAAAGCCTTGGAAAGGAATTCTGCTCTTTGGGGTAAATTAAATTTTTTAATAAAATAAAAAATATATCTTAGGCAAATAGTTTAAAACAAGTTTATATTATTACAATATAAAATTTAAATAAAACTTTTAACTTATTTTGTAATTCATGTTTGTTTATTTGCTTAATACACATTATTCTGTTTATTTACAAGAAATATTCATGATTAGTAATAAAAATTTAAATTTTTGAAGTTAAGTAAAAATAACAGTTTAGTGGAAAATGTGTTTTACTTTAGCCTCCAGGTACTGGAAAGTCATATCTTGCTAAAGCAGTAGCAACAGAAGCCAATAATTCCACTTTCTTCTCTGTTTCTTCTTCACATCTTGTTTCAAAATGGCTTGGAGAGAGTGAAAAGTAAGATGTATTTCATATCATTTAGATAATTTTATCATATTTAAAATTACACTTCTTCAAGGCATAAGTAGACATGTAGTAGAAAAATCATAAAACTGTAGATTAAAAACAAAGTTATGAACAAAATATCTAATTGCTAATTTTTTTCACAGCTGTTTTTAGATCTGCTAACTGTATAGTAGAATGATTTTCATTTTACCATTGGCAGAAAAAGGCTGTTTACAGTTTACACAAATACTTTTTTTATAAATGCTCAATTATACAGTATAATTTAAATTGTGATCTAAATGAACAATTGTTTTCATGTGATAAGATATCAAACTGTATGTAGCTTGACTTTTTGTTGTCAAATAAATATTCAAAGTATGATAACAATTACACAAAAATTATTTATTATCAGAAATGATAAAAATAATTATCTTATATTATTTATATAGTTATAAAACCGAGTATAATCTGTCAAAAGGTAATAATAATTCATTCAAAAGTTCAATTTTAGTTAGAGTTAACTATTTTTTAAATATATGTAAGAAAATTCTAACTTTAATAATGTTGATAATGTTGTAATAATAATAACATTAAATTCTTATATTAAAAAATTATATATATATATATATACTGCTAGAAATGGAAATTACAACACCAAGGAGGAGTTATACTACAAGAATGAAAATTACACAGAATATTTATTCATATGATTTATTACAGTGATACTAGTTTCAAGGGTACAACTTCACAGGATTGTGCACATTTTCACAACAAATACAAATTAGATGTTTCTATGAGATATTTGGAGCTTTTACAGGAATTAGTGTCACTGTGAAAAGCTATAGTGTTATTAACTACAACATATAGAATACCTCAAAGATAATAATGAACAGCAAATCAACAATTTTATGTTAAATAAAAGGGGTGGATTTTCAATTTGTGAGATCAACGAATGAATGGATCAAGACATGTCCATTGTCTACAACTCTTGGTAGCACTGGTCCAGGGAAGGCACTACTACCAGAAGACTGGAGTGTGGATCCTCCTGAGTTACTGGAGATAGAGAAGATTGACTCATAAACAGTATGTTCCTGATGGATTAGAGGGCATCTGCAGCTGAACTTCAAACAACAGTGGCACTAATCAGAAATAAATAATAATAATTTTATATATCATTATTCATTATTTAACTAGCTTACCCGTCGTGCATTGCTGCGATCTCAGAAGAAAAATTCAAGCAAACTCATTATGATAAAATTCAATTTACATTTTATCATTTTTATTGAAACTTATTATTATTATTATTCATTTTCATCGGGAAAACATTTCAAAGTGTCGTTTCAATCCTATTTATTTATTGGAGTGTTTGTGGATACACAATATTTTTTGTTTTTCCGTCTGGTGCATACACGAATAAATCGGAAGGTTTTCCGACGCATGAGCCGGCCACATACAGTTGTCCATGCGAGAAGCACGGATTCTCCAAATTTAGCCCACA